ACTCCAGTCGAGGGGCGGCCGGACCCCCGGCCAGGTCTCCATCCCCGACCCCGCGGTGGCTCTGCTCGCCCTGCTCGCCCACGCTCCTCCCCGGCTTTGTGCCCACATAACTAATGAAGATGGCACTGTGCAGGGGGCTCTCTCTCGCAGAAGGAGGAGGGAGGGTCGTCCTGGACTGGAGAGGGGAAGGAGCTGGAAAATAATAATGGCCCGGATCGTTATCTCCGGCGATCTTATATCACTGCGGGGCGGCGGGGCGGAGCGGCGCGGCGGGTTGCGGTGCGATTCGCAAAGCAGGTCGGCGCCACCGTGTCAATGGTCCCCTCCCTTTGAGCTCGCCTCGTCTAGTTCTGTGTAGTTCCGTTGTTTGCGGTGACACCCGGAAGCCCCGTCGGGACGCCGTCGGGACGCCGTCGGCAGCAGCAGCAGCAGCAGGGCGGCGCGGCGCGGGCGCGGTCAGGTGGTAACGAGGCGCATTTCTCAAGTGTCGCCGCCGTCCGTCCGACCGACCGCGGCCCGCGCATATGGACCAGGGCGCCGTCGGCCCCGGGCGGGGCGGGCCAAAGGCGTCGTGGAAAGCAGGCCAGGGCGTCGGCCCGTCGGCCCTACCCGGCCCCCAGGGTGTAGACCCCGGGTGGACCCGCGGCCAGCTCGGCCACGGCTCTGCGATATCGCAGCTGATCGGGCCCCGAGGGAACCCTGGGCCGGACGGGGTCCGAAGGCTCACAACGACAAGCGTTTAAATTTTTGTTCCTCTTCTTCTTCTTCCTCTCCGCGCCAGACAAATGGCGGGCGTTGCTGCTCTGGCCCCGCGTTGGCAAGCATCCTGCCCCCAGGGCGACGGGGGCCAGGGCCCGCGCGGGGAGGAGACAGCGGAAGGCGCGGCGCGGGGGGCCGACGCACGAGGAGGAGGTGCTGAAGAGAGCTCCTAGCAGCGCCGAGCAGCGCGTATCGCCGCGCGCTGATCTGCCCACAATTTGTCTTCTCGGAACGGCTCACTAAATCGCGTGCGCGTCGCCCCGCCCGCCGGCGCGCAGGGGTGTGAGGGGGAGGAGGGGGGGGGGCGTCGCGAGGATCAGCGTCGCCCCCGCGCCTGCCCCGCCTGCCCGTCCACCCGAGGAGGAGCGGCAGGCCCCCAGGAAGCACCAATTTCGGAAGAACAAAAGAGTTGGTCGGTTAGTGTGAGAACCGAACGGACGGCGCGGCGCGCTGGACGAACTGGACTCTGCTGCGCGCAGGAAGGCCGTCGAGCGGAACCAACGCTACGCGAACCGGCGGCGGGGCGGGCGCGGGGCGGGCTGCAGGACGACAGGACGCGCGGACCGGACCCGGCTGTACAGCGCGTCAACTACACGCCGCTCGCACATTCAATCCGCCGCTGCTAGGGACGCGACGGGACACGACAGGACAGTTACTCGGCGCGCGGGAAATAAAGGAAAATAATGTTTTTCCCCGCCGCTCCGCTTGCTGCTCCGTGTTCAGGCCGAACGTAGTGTAGACACGCTGCAGCAGTGCCGCGCCTTTGAGAACATGTGCGGATCCTCCGCGACGATGTACCTCAGTGTGTGTGTGTGTGTGTGCAGGGCCGTGTCTGGCACGCCAAGCCGTATTGCGTCTCGCGGCGCTGCCCAAATGGGGCGCCCTGGTCGTCGGCCGCGCGTGCCCCCCCCCTTCCCCCCTCCAGCCTGGCCAGGCCCCCGTGCACACAAATTAAATCATGCTCTAATAAAGAGTTTCCTGCGAGGAGTGGCGCGGTGCGGTGGAGGGGGTAAACGACTTTCAGTCTCCTTTCTCTCTCCGAGGCTGCTGCCCTCCTGACGGCCGCGGACTGGGTGCTTTATCCTCTCGTTATATCGTAAATCGCCGCCGCCTCCGTCGGCCTTATGTTAATCCTCCGCGCGACCCGGCGGCAGAGGGCCCGGCGGCGCGCGGCTGGCTGCTCAGGATGCAAACTGGACCGCCGCGTTTTGACGCGCCTCGCTCCGCCCGCGGCGCGCCCGCCCCGCCCCGCCCCGCCTCGCCTCTGTGAACAGCGCGCATTATCGGGAAGGCGATGGAGGATCCTGTGTGCTGGGTGCCGTGCTGCTGCCGGCGAAAGGAAAATCTCCGTCCCCTCCTCCTCTCTTTGGCAGAAATCAGGGGAGGCGTCGCTGAGCCGGTGGCTTGAGACGGGCGGGCTTTAGTTGGAGGCGCGCGGCTCAGCGCGGGGCGCGGGGCCGCGATAGATAGAGATCGCGGGAGGAGGAGGAGGAGGAGGCGTTGAATTCGGTAGTCGAGCGTGTAGCGCCCCAGCCACGCCCCGCCACGCCGCCGGCCGGTTCAGCAGCGAGGCAGCAGCAGATCACGGCCGGATTAGGTTGCCCCGCCACCCTGCCGCGGTGGGGTGGCGAGGGGCGCCTGCCGCCCCCGGGGGCGGCGGCGCGCGGCCGACACCTGCCAGACCGCCCCCCGGCCCATCCCCCTTGGAGAGTCCCGGGCCCGGCCGAATCACTGGCGACTTTTAAAATTCCACGCCAGAGTGCTCGTAATTTGGACGGGTGGCGCGATGCACCGCACCGGTCGTCGTCGCCGATCGTCCCGAAAAGTTTTACACTCTCGGGAGGACTGCTCTGGGGGAAGCAGAGAAGAATCCATTTGGATGATGGAAGCCAAAGTGGCTCTCTGATGGGTTGCATCACATCAGGCGGCGGCGGGCGCACTCTACACATGTGCAGCATCATCCCGGCCGTACCGCCGTGGGATGGGCCGGGGCCGGCTGGGAGTGGTCCAGGGCGGGGCGGGGCGGGGGCAGAGGAGATGCCACTCATTGCATTGTGTCAATCC